GGGGCCGGCGGTAGTGAGAGGCAAGGACGCCGGCCATTTTCACCGACACGCAGATACACCACCCCCACCCTGGGTTCGCTCGCCAAAAAGTGTCTCTTCATTCAAAGACCCTATACAAATCGTGGGCGTTACAGCACATCACCGGTTAGGACCCAGCACAGACTCAGCGCTGTCCGACCTGGGGATGGCATGAGACGATGTGATCCCGATCTTGATTAATCGCAGCAGCAACGCTACCAGTTTGAGGGTCTTCAACACACTCACAGAATCTGTAAACTCTAACTTTTCAGGCATATTGTCTCACAGAGGTAAGGTATACAGTAGATGTGCTAACTTATGAAACGTTAATCGAAATCCTGAAATGCGTTTTTGACTTGCAAAGATTACTTGAGGAGGGATGTGACATTAATTTCCGTGCAGCATAATACCCAGATATCTTAGTTACGTCAGAATGTCGGCTTTTGGATAAACTGCTTTCCGGCCAACTGAAAAAGCCACAATCTGTAAAAAATGGCCACTCAAGTAGTATGCATTTTTCTCATTGATTTTTGACGCCCTTATAAATCCAAATATATTTCATGGAAAACATACACAAAAGCACTCATTCTTTTACGCAATTGACCGAAAATTACGACCTCTTCAAATTTTATACTCGAAGGGAGGGTATAATCCGGTTTCAACAAAGTTCTAATTATAAGGTTTTTAAGACTGTGAAATGCCCGTTCATAAAATATCGTGTCCTGTATTTGCTAGTGTTACTTAAAAAGTTTACAATATGGCTCAAATGCAATGCAAAATTCTATGAACCCCATATGGCTTCCTCTTAAAAGCGTATAGAAATGTATGGTTTTCCGCACACGGAAGATATACAGCTTCTAGTTTGGAAGCCCTGAACGGAAGTGTGACGACAAGTCGAGTTCAAAATTATTCGGGAATTGGAAAAGTTTTTTTTACAACCGAATTATACTCCCCCTTTAAACAGCTTATGCTGCACGGCAATTAATATTACAACTCTACTTAAGTAATCTTTTCGAGTCAAAAAAAGCATTTCGGAGTGTTGGTAAACACTTCATGAGTTA